GTAGTCACCTCGTTCAGAGTCGAAAACTATACCGAGTTCATCAGCTGCTCGAGCAGCTGCCCTAAGGAAAAATGCTCCAATTCCTGATCAACAATGAAATCAACAAATGTTCAAATATTACTTTCAATTTGTATAACTTATATTCTTTAAAATAATAACACTTTGACAATAATATTTCATCTTCGACAATATCTTTCAGGTTGTGTATCTCATATTTCTCAGAATAGTTACACTTTGTCAATGAGATTTCATCTTCAACAATAAAGTACATTTTAATTTGATTTGATTGTAATAATTGATAGTTACTTATAGCGCCATCTGTTCGCAAATAAATCGAGCAATGATTGATAGTTACAACGCCATCTGCCCGCGAATAGGTCAAGAAATATCAATTAGGTTACGAACAGCGCCATCTGCCCGCGAATAGATCAAGCATTAATGCCAATAATTCTGTCAATCCAGATCCCAATCTTGGGAGTTGCACACAAACATGCATACAAACAATCATACATACATACATACATACAGGTGAAGCTAATATAAAAGCTATAATAAAAAAAGGAGGTCCAATGTTTTGTTACAAATTTGAAAAAACATTCAATTGATGTTCTATTCTGATAACACCTGGTGGATGATAAACGAAAATTTTTGGAATTAATATTTCCTTTCCTGAAGGGTATATGCATTTACCAGATATATGCCAATGCTACAACTCGAACATCATCATTCGAATATTGATAAATTGAACTCATTTGTTGGAAGTGATGTGTAATCTAAGAATAAATAAAACATAGATACAAGAGAATGAATTAGTATATTACAACCTTTAGTTGTAATATAGGGCAGATGTGACCGATGTTCATTTAGTCAAAAATCCTCCGTACCATGAAAAAAAAAGGAAAAAATCGTATTTAAATAACGAATCTTGAAGAAATATACTAGTTAGACAAAAAAGTACGAAGATTTTTCCATTATTGCCAACACAACCGTAAACTTTATCATCAATGTCTGTAATTGTTATAATATTCATCTTGAATAGTTCTGAAGAAAAATCTAAACACTGTTTCTATTTAGTGGAATTCAGGAAAGATCTAAGAAGAGAGAAAACTGATAAATCAATCAAAGATAATATAGTTCTCACACGACTCTGATATTCATCAAACAATGAGAGTAGCACATTAACAGAATTCAACTGATAGCATCGCAAAGTCTGTTCATCTTTACATGAGATTATTACGAAATGAATACGAAAGTGGAGATAGAGATGTAAAATTTTCCTCTTGTTGACACCTTGTTTGGAAAGCTTTAATATTTATTGACTATTTCCATAGATTGTTGAACATTTTCAGTAAATAAAGTTAGTTCTACTATTGTTATTTTATATTTTCAAGTTACTTCCAACCCGTATATACGTACCTGAACTTCCAATAGTCCTCATTATCCTTTGTTAGAGTTTTATGCCTGTCGCTATACCTTGTTCCTCGGAAATTTATGAAAAAAACTTGGTATCCCGATTGAAGAAGCTCGAATGCTGCAAAAATGGATCGTAATGAAAACAAATGGAACTTTGTTTTTAGCTATTCCTCACCTAGAGTTTTGTTGAACATAGTTACAAAGGAGAGGGTGTTGGTGTTGAGGCCATGCCCCATCACAATTGGGGTAGGTTTTGTTATTGAACCCATCACAGCTCGAACCACCAGAATGAAGTAGTCATCTTTTGTCAACAACTCGTGTTCCTCCACGGTGCATCCCCAACGTTGTAATATTTGAGTCTACAAATAAGTGTCAAATATGAATTGACAAAAAATACAGGCCAACAACCTGAAAACATTTTCAATTTCAATTAATCCCTGAGTAGTTTGGTTGTATCACCCACCAATTTTTCACATATCACTATTAGGTAAAAATGAAGTTCATGTACCAAAATGTATGAGATACATTTTTAACTACTCAAATATTCGAAAGTTGGCAACATTGTTTTGATGTAATGGGGTTGGCAATGAAATAAAATGTTGTAAGGTTGGAAATTCTAATGAATTTCACCGCCGATTAGTTTGTTCACCAAGTAAAATCTAAAATATAATCTCAAATTTCGGTGTGCTTTTCATAAAAAAAATAAAATTGTTAAACGTGATTGTAAAAATTCTCAAAATGGTTTTTGCTATATTTGTGGTGATTTCGTAATTAAAAAAAACAACAAAGGATCGTTATTGAAATAAGTTTACTTTGCATATTTTGGTATAGCAATCAGTAATCAAAACAAGTGTTGGTTCCTCACGAAGTATATTATGTTTGTGTCGTGGATCTGAGGAAATGGTATAAAAAAAAAGATAGCTTTTGAATTTGCAGTACCCATGATATGGAAGG